AGCTACAGCAACAACAGCAGCAACATCAGCAGCAACAGAATTCGAAAAGTAGTGCAATAATGCAAACAATGCAACAACACCAGCAACAGCTTGGCAGCCTCGACTTCGGCTCGGCCGGCTTAGACTTGAACGGCTTTTGCGGTTCGCCAGGTGAGTTGTCCGAAACCTCATCCCTTAATACCCGATACTATGAGACAATTAACATTAATACTTTCGTTTTTCCATCGACAGATTCATTTCACTCCGGCCAAATGAATCCGCCTTCGATACAGAGCACTATGTCGGGCTCCTCGCCCGCCACCAACATGCTCTCGCCATCCTCCCAGCACAATCAGGCTTTCTACCAATATCTAACGCCGACGAGTCAGCACTCCGGTGGCCTCACGCCGCAACATCTGGTGCAAACGCTCGATAGCTACCCCACGCCCTCACCCGAATCGCCCGGCCATTGGTCGAGCTCATCGCCGCGCTCCACATCGGACTGGTCGGAGGGCGTGCAATCGCCAGCGGGCAATAATCTCTACATCTCCGGCGGACATCAGGCCAATAAGGGTTCGGAGGCGATTTACATTTGACAATAAGCACAGGTGACAGCGGTAAACGCTGCTGCTGTGCTGCGACGCGCGCCAATGTGAGCGCGCATGCGTGTGTGTGTGTTGTGTGAACATTCGCTAGAATTAATTCTAAACATACAGACATACATTTATAGAAATATACATACATACATATGTATGTCTAGTAGCATTTAGTTTTGTACAAAACAAGAGACGAAAATGTGCGTGTAAAAAGTGAGAAATTTTCAATAAAAAACTAATATTATTGATAAAAATATTTAAACGAGCGAGTAGAGCACGAACGAACTGAAAGCAAATGTGGCGTCAATGTGGTGCTTGCGGTGCGCTTTAACAATTACACATACAAACATAYGTAGTTATTATTATTACTGTTATTGTTGTTGTATATGACACGCACAGGCGCGACACCCGGCTACATGGAGACTTAGTTGCTTCCTTTTCAAAAAAGGAACTCAGCCATATTTTTTAAGTATGCATTTTTTAACCATACATACATATACATACATACATACACACTTACTATATAAATATAGTTATGCATAATTATACAGTTATAAAGCGAATATCTAAATGCAGGCGTGTGTGGTGAGGCTTTAAAGCGTGCATTGATCCAGGAGCTGCGGTGCCTATTGTAAATTATTGCTCTTTTTTAATGTCTTATACACCCACAAGCATATTAATGTGAGTAGCAAGGAGCAAGCGAACAAAAATGCTTAAACTGAAATATGCGCACTACTACATACATAGCATACAAGTAAATAATTCCTTAGTAATATACATACATACGTAATTACATAACGTTAATGAACAAGTAAATCAAAAATCAGCTGCAAAAAAGAAACTCACAATCGAATCTCCTACCAGAGGTAAATACATAAACATAAATATATATGTATATGCATAAGTTTTATGCAAACAAAATTAGTTATACATACACATACTTACATACATATATGTATATAGTATATGTAGTGTAAAAAGCAGCATACTCTTAATATGCAAACTGAAAATAGTGCCGTTATATAGTAAATATTATGCGCACGTTTTGTGAATAGCGACGAAATTGCGAAGAAGAAAGTAAAGTTATGGTGTTTTCTAAATGTTATAATGCGTGTTATTGTGGGTTAATAATTTTATTTGAGAAGCAATAGAAATTAAATTTTAAATTTTTTGTGTGTTGGTGAGCACGTTTGAAATATATATATATATATTTTTTTTTTTGTAGAAATAAGCTTAATTTTTTTTTTTTTTTTTTTTTTTTGTAAACAAAAAGCTTACAAATAATTTTGAAATTTCTTCGTGCAACATTAAATAACAACAATTCAATAAATTTGTATATTATGTTTACATTTTATAGCTTAAAACAATAATTTTTTTGTTATTTAGAAAATAACCAAAAATATATTATAAACTAAAAAGTCTTATTGTGCTAGAACGACCGCATCTCTGTTACCCACAATGTTGTTGTTTTTGTACTGACTAAAAAATATGCCTCAAAAACCTTTTGGTAAGAGCAGTAGCTTGGCAGCCTTTCGCCGTATAAAAACTGGGTGCCGCTGCGTTTGAGTAGAACCAATTCCGTTCCATGACAGTCGGGTCTAAGTAATCGGAAAGGACCGGATTTTTATTCGACCAATGTCTGTCAACTGGGCACTATGCCTCGAAATTACTTCACGATTGGTTTCTGTCGCTACAACCGTTTACTGCGATAGCTATAACCAACGGCAGAATTCTGCCGTTACAACAACAACAACATGGCTATAACCAAAACTATGACTTGCTCGAAAAATTAAAAAATAATTATCTGAAATGCATGAAATATTTTCAAAATTTAGGCAAGAATTTTATTTTTTGCTTCTTAAATTTGAATGGCAAACTTTAATAATTATCAAAAATATCTAATATTAAAAATTTGCAGAAAATGGTAAATAAAATTTCCAGCTGTCATTTTTCCAAACAAAATTTCCAGCAATTGCCGACATTTTCCAATTCAAAGTTCTGACACTTGCTTTGGTTACTTGGTACTACCAAAATAAAATTTTTAGCCCACTGCTTTACGCGATCACCATTTATTAATTGCTTATTGTTATTGCTATTAGTGTTTTTTTATTGAAAATTCATTTGTTTAAATTTGCAATTTGAAATGTGTAAAAAAGATTTTAATTAGTTTAATATGAAAGTGAAAAGTGAGCAGCACAAAAAAATTAGTATTACAAAATTTTACAAGCAAGCATGCGGCAAACTGAAGACACACTAGACTTATTTTATCCTAAAAATAAATTTAAACTAATTAACACGAAAGCAACGCTGCGCTGCATTTGGCGCGCGTTAAATAAATGTATAATTGCTGCTAGTATAAAATGTTAGCCATAAGTGCGCTGAAACTCTTCCAATATTGTTAGGTATTACAATTTTGTATTTAAAGCTAATTTCATATTATATATATACATACATATTTTTTTTTTTTTGATGAAATTATAATTAAAAATAGCAATGAAGCGTAAAATAAATAATTTTAACAAAGTGCTTATAAGAAATGTGCGCTAGCAAAAGCAACTGTAAAAAGTATCTCATGTCTATGACTTAAGTATAACTAATACGTATAGCGGTAAGTTGTCTAAAAATATTAGTAAAAATCAGCATATTGTGTAATAGCAATGTGCATTAAATTTAAATATATATAAATATTCACTGTTTTAATGTAAATTAAACGAAATTAATTGCGAATTATTAATTTTTAGTAAATATTTAAAACATGTTGTAATTGGTGAAGAATTTTTTAAATTAGTTTATAGTTAATTTTATTAATGAATACTCTAAGCATTAATTTTTGTATTTCTTATGCGTTAAAGCGTTATTTATAAATTAGTTGTAGTTCAAATTGTTGTAGTAAACGCAGTAATTTAAGTAATTTTTAATTGAAAATTAAAATTATCTGCGTCACAACTACAAAAAACACATTTATACATAATTATGTACACTTTGCAATTATTGACTGTGTGAATATGTCGCTTATAATGAACGCTCTCTGCAAAGACAACAAGACATGCAACATAAAAGACATAATTTTATTTAAAATTAATTAATGTGCTCTTTTAGCATTTAAATAGTAATTTAGTGATTTTTTTTTTTAAATACATACATATATACGAAATACACCGCCAGTAGTACTGTTTTGTGGCTAAATAATTTTTATTTCTATGCGTCACGTTTGCAGAGCCTCAAATATGCTCTAAGAATTTATTAATTATTATTTTTGTAATATCACTCGTATCTCTTGTTGGCGCATACACTTGCGAAAAAGCTTTAATTTAGTTAACGTTTATGTTTTCTGTTTTGTATCTTTGTTTTTAACGCGTCTACGATGTTCATTGTCCGCTGTCCAACACTTTCTAATCCCTTTCATGCTTTTGACTTTATAAAAAAAATATCGTGGTAACTTTTTTGATTTCGTCATGTTTTACAATGCGTTTGCATTTAATATAGATCATGTAAAATAGTGCTTTGCAAAGTATATTTTAAGTTTTCTGTAGCAGTAGTTATAACGAATTAAGTAATTAAGCGAAAATCTTTAAAAAGACATTAATAAAACATTACATATTTTTATAAAATAAATTACATGTTTTTTTTTATTGTTGTGGCAGCGAGAAAAACTATGCCGAGTCGAGAGTTGTTGGTCGAATAAAAAAATCGTGTCCGCTCCGGTTTCGTAAACGAGACTGTCGTGGTTATAACTGGCTTTAAATTTATTGTGGTTGTGGTTTTAACGTTTATCTTTTTCCCGTTTGGATGATTAGATTCAGATAAGTTGTCATCGTGGTCATTCAACACTGACTCAGGAAACGTGTTGTTTATGTCGTCGACGTAGTTGAGAACGAACCTCTTGATGATCCTAGCAGGCGATTCCGAGGTCCGGGTTTTTTTATTTTATTAATTTGCATTGTTTCTAAAGCCATTTGTTCTACTATCAGTCTGTATATACGCAAACTAGTACCTCAGTTAAAATATCAAACTGAAATTTAGATCACGCCTTTTTCTCCTTAAAAATCTGCTAATTTGTCGGAATCCACCATATCGGACTTTTATAACATATCACTATTATTCGAGGAAGCTCTATAGCATATTGCCACCATACAAAATAACCGAAAAAATTCTGAATATAGTTTTTGTATACCCTTTTCAGATATAAAAAATGCAACTGTAGAAACTATTATAGTTCCAGTGAATATTTGTCTATAAATTTTTTATTAATCTTTGCATACAAATAGGCGCAGTGAATAAGCGCACATGACTAAATTTTCGATAAAGTGAATAACCTTCGTTGGTGCGACCTTTAGCTGTTCGGGGCGGATGAGCATAATACGCTTTAAAACGTCTTTAATACACAAATTGTCAATTTTCTTATAGTGACTAAAAAGACACAGCTTTTAGTTTGAAATATCAGCTTTATTTACAATTAAATGTTTAGCCAAGGTAATACAGTTATTTAAAATGCAAAACAAAAAAATTTACTTTGCTCACAGCTGTTGAATGAAAAGTGTTACTAATACCCGTCTGCTGTTCATTATACAGTAATCGTATAGTTGCCTTCATTGTGCCCAGCCACAAGTCTATGTAATTTTCATTAGTCATTATATATTTATACATGTAACCTAATTGCACTAGTATAATTTCAGTTTTCTTTCTTTACACTGGAGCTAGAATCCACAGCGTCCTTCACAACATCTGACTTTTCACTTCCGTCATTGGTTAAAGTTTTGTTTTTAGATCCAGTGAAGGGGCAAGCGCCACCTTTGCATTCGAATGGAAATTCTGGTGTATTTTTGATTACATTGCCCTGAGCATCCTTTTTCTCCCAAGGATTCCAATAACGCTGTATAATAGGTAATACATAAGGCTGGATAAATTTGTGCCAGATGTACAGCAGCACAGGAATGATGAAGCAAGGCACACAAACCATTTTCGTAATTTGTATTTGTAGTGGAATGAAATTTGTACAAAAATTCCTTAATTCAAATGGAAAAACAATATTTGCAATACCAAATTTTTAGAATTTTCTTCGTCAGAATTATAAAACTCGTAAATTTTAATTGAGATAATCAAAACAAATGAATAGATGACATTTCGCGTAGTTGTTTTGATAGCGCAACTCTCCGGCAGATGTCGCCTGGTATTTTATGAAACAACAATGTAGAGTATGTTATTTAGTTATTTTTTTATATTAATTTTTAAAAATAATACCATCAGCTCTTCCCCAATTATAATTATTAATTTTATTTAGTTCCATCTTTTAACAAAAATAAAAGACAAAAAGTTTCTCCTTAAACATTACGGACAACATTAAAATACTGCGCTGCAACTTTGTACTCGTTACTTCTATTCGTTATAAATTCTTTGGTGAACAGCTGTCATTCGTTTTTTGCAATTTGACCTGTTCGGTTGTTATTTCCAGTTATTTCATTTAGCGCTTTAAATACAGGTAATATTGGTACATCTTGTGTTTTTTTTTTAGAATATAATCTGGTTAAGTGATTTTTTTGTTTGTTCATTAAATTAATACATTTTTAATGTGTCGTAGGTATAAAATAACAAAAAATATCGATATTCTACGCTGTGTTAAGGTGATTGTAAAAAACAAGTGCAGTGAAGTGTTGTGATGTTGGTGGCGAAGCTAACATAAAAAGTTATAAATTAAAGGTGAAATTCCAATAAAAAAGAAAAGAATCGTGCAAAACGCAATATCATACAACTGGTTAATTTAAAATATATTATTCTTATTGGAAATAAAAAAAGTGAAAATTGAGGAAAAAAGTTAATTTTCAGATTGGAGTAAACGCTGTAATTGGAAATTTAAAATGTGGAGTCCAACGCACATACAAGTAACTGGTAAGTCCATATGTAATTTAATAATATGCTACGGTGAACAATTTATATTTAACTGTTAAACGGTGGTTTCAAAATAATTAATATATTATGTGTGAAAATGAAAAAGAAATATGTAAGTTTTCAGAAGCATCAATTGCACCCATTGTGTTAGCCATAATTCGTGATTTCGTGTCAGCGCATTATTGGCATAGCTAACTGAGTCGGTGGCCGACTCACCGTCATTGTTTATATCAATGCCACTGGCTGACGAAATTGTGAGCAGCCACTTTCTTTGTGTACCATACATTTATACACACATATGTATGTCCATGCAATGGAAGAAAAAGTTGCTTCAACAGCACCTCACTAATATACATATGGTTTGATTAGCAGAGAACTGGTTTTAAGAAAAACCATAGCTGAGCAGTTACTGAGTTTCAAAGTTCCATAAAGGCAAAGCTCACAGTACAAGGCAAATGAGTGTAGCAAAAAGTTGTCGAATGCGCAAATTAAATTAAATATAGAGTGTAATTTTTGTTTGTTACAGAATGATAGCGAAGTTGTTTTTGCTTTAGCGGTATGAAAATATTTAAATAGTTAATGGTAGAGCGACCATGGCATGCCATTCAAACTCCAACTTGGGTCAAAAGCCTTTGTATAGCAGTGACCAATGCGATTAATATTCAGCTTTGTACGCCCGGTCAATTTCAATTTTATTTTCACTTTTTAATACTCTCCACAATAATGCTTTTTACAATTAGCCATCGCGAAATGAGTGTGAGCTTAGTAAAAAACAACAAAGCAACATATTTTTTATGCACACAACTAGTTGTTGGATTAAGCAGGCACGTTTCTGTTGATATTGAGGACTCGCAAATTGAACTCTTGTAAGATGTAAACAAATGTTTGTAATCATCAGATTGTGTGACCTTTATGTGTCACTTTCTACATTGTGCCATTGTTCTCGAAAAATGAATTTGTGCTTTCATTAATTTGTGGCGGCAGTGCCGTGCTCCTCGTGTTGTTAGTTGTAGCCGCCGACGCCCTGAAAATAACATTATTTGCCAAAGCACTCCTCATTCACCACTTGCTTTCCTTTATGCATACAAATGTGTAATTATTTGTGTATCGTTGTACCAACAAGGCTTTTGGTGACACGTGATGATGACTGCTATTTGTGTTTTCTGCAGATTTCACTTAATTTGGCATGCAAGTGCTGACTTTTTCTGAATTTGTGATATTTACGCGAAGAATTCCACTGAACGTCAAATTAAATAGTATGAGAGGAAAGCAGAACAATAATAGTTCACAAAAACAAAATCTTATTGGAACTAAAAGTTTAATATTTGTTTGTATACTAAGTTGTAGGCGGAAATTGGCTGTTGATAGCTAATATCTTTTTACAATATAAAATGCTAATCTTAGGAAAATTGTAAAGCCTTGATAAGAAACTGCAAATGTTTTGCTGGAAATCACAATCTTTCATATTATTTCTTACTTTTATCGTTATCATCAAATTATGAAAGTACGAGACACATTGCTGGCAATGAACGTAACTTGCACCGAACAATATGAATGTACAATTTTACAAACATTTGGTAGGGACTTTAAAAAATTCAACTTTTTTCTTATTTCCATAATAATTAAAATATATACATATGTACATATGTACATATGTAAATCTGTATGTACATACATATATGCCTATGCCAATTCAATGCATGAATCTAGACATACTAACGTACGAATTGAAAATTTATTTCGCCAGGGAAGTTAATATCGTACGTTCAACAGGCTAAATTTGGAGTATCCTACAGTGACCTTGGAAAAAATTTGTATTTAGTTCTAATATGCAGATGTGTGTTTTATAATTTATTTCAATGACATTTTTCTACAATTATTCACGCAAATTGCCTATCAAAATACCATCGCTACTAAAGCTGCAATTGTCTAATACCTCACAGTACAATTTGTTTCCTTAGACTCTTCACAAATGTAAAATAAAATCCCAATGAAATTAAAATATTTTCAAGAGATAAGATAAAAATTCCAATCTTAAAATTATTCTTTTGTGACAAAAAACAAAAAGAAATTCTTATATACTTACATATTGTATATACCATGCATATACATATGTACATATGTATGTTCATGTGAGGAAATTTTTTCAATTGTTAGTGAAACGTAACTTTTTTTAGTGTAGAAATTTAGGTGTTGTCATAAAGTATCAGTAATTTTTACAGCTGATAAGATTTCAAGCCGATTGTTAACCACATTGCCTGTTGCATGAGTAACGCACACTTCGAAAAGGCGGTGAAAGTATTCATATTTATAAGTGGATTAGTGTGTTTGTGAATGTAATGTACAAAGCATCTGATCAAATATGACATTTTCATATATTATAATACAAATCATTATTTACGCCTTCAAAATAGGCTGGCCCTCGGCGAATTTTGTTTTTATCCGGTTTCGGATCTTATCTCTGGATTGTGGAACAGTTTTGATGTTATATTCATAAAACTCACATCTCACCACCAGTAATGATGCATTGGATGAATGTAAGATCTTGAAATCGTTTTGGCAAAAGGCTCTCTTTCATGCCAATATAAAAATAAAAAATTTGTTTTTGCCAATATAGGAAACAAATTTGTATCGGTATAGTCCAGGGCAAGATTGGTCAGATAGAATACATTTACCATATAAGTACGTTGATTTTTTCTTTTATAAATTATGCCCACATATTGACTAAGTAGACACTCTTTCTTGTGTGCTGGTATGAGTAAATATGCTATTTTACAAATCTGTCGCCATCAAATCAACAATTGCCTTTGTCTTCAAGTATTTTTAAATTGGTCAGCGCAGTTCTTTTCAATATTTAAACACTGACTTATTTTCATGTGAAAATCAAACAAATTTGTCTGCAAGAAGCTGTTCATTGTTCAAGATTACTCGTGATAGCATGCTTATATTTGCTGTTTGCTATTTATTTTCCGCTTGAAATGTGTATTGAACAAGAAAACACGTTTACTTTGTTTGCAAGCAGTTATTATACCCTTACAAGGTGCCTTTTTTATAGTACAAAAAATTTTAAAATAAAATTATCTTCATTTTGGTCGGCCAGTTTGCATACAGGCTATATGCTATAGTGATCTGAACAATTTTTATACCACATGCCATATTCTATACCAAATTTAGTGAAAATTTCTTAGCAAATTTCTTGGCTTTTCATACATGGATTTGATTTTATCGTTCAGTTTCGTTCAATTTGTATGGCAGCTATATGCTGTATGGGTCCAGGTTGGCAGTTTTGACAACTGAGCAACTTGTAGGGAAGAAAATCTGGTACTAATACAAGACGGACGGACATGACCAAATCGACTTAGCTAATCATTTATGCACTATAAACATTGATGGGTGTCCGACGTTCTCTACTGGGTATTGCAAACTTGATGCCACGTTATTGTATATATGTGTGTGTGTGCATAAGTTAATAAAACAATACGTTTTTTTATCAACAATTATTTTTTGCTCAACTCATAAGTTCCGCTAATAAGCTCAAGCGAAATAATTCAAGTTCATTATTATTCATTTGTATTCGCTATTTATTACTTACGGTGATACGGCCCTTTGTTAAACACTATTTTGTTACTATTACTTTTTTTCGCAAATAATAATTACCCAAGAACAGTTGTATGAAAATGGCAGCGTAATCCCTCTTTGTTGTAACTATGGCGATGAACTTGATGAATCAGTGCTTTTGTTAGATTGTTTACATTGATTGTCATCTGTTATACCGTATGTTGTCGTTTCATTTAATAAGCAAATTAATTGTATTGAGTAACGTTTTTACTAAGAAAATTGAATTTCATTGTTTATATTGCATTTGAATGCTGATTATACTGTGAAAAGTATTTGTTTCTTATTTTATTCCTTTAATTTAGATACTAAGTTCAATGATAATGACTTCATCTCTCTCAAATATGAATAAAACCATATTATATATTATACATATATGTATATGTACATATATGGAGACGTGATTTCTAAAAAAAAAATGTATTTTAAACCAAGACTTAATTTAATGTTAACTTCGACTGCACCGACGACAAAAGGGATCCATTTCGAGGTTTCCTACTTTTTTTAAGAAAAAATACAGAAACTTCAATCTTAAAGGGGAATTTTTATCATAATTCGAAAGAACATTTTTCGAAGTTTATTTTTTGAAGATTATCTTTATCAATG